ATTGTATATTTCAGTCATTTTATTGCTTGCTTTAATTATGATTGCGGAGGCTCAGGTTTTTAAATCCTCTTAGCAGAATGTAGCAATCAATTTGTATAAAACTGGGAAAAGGACTGAAGGCTTTTATTTACATCTTTCCAAGTGGTGGGTGGAGGATTTTTTTGCATTTATTGCTGGTTGGGATGGACGAGCAAGACATTTAACTGGAGCTGGGCTTGTACTGAGCTACGCGAACTGCTGGAGGCTCTTGGGAGTGTTGACTCCAAAGTAAAAGATACGATTGCATTTCTACTGGCATCCAAAATTTGTTTTCAGTATTTTTAGGAAGATGGAGACGGATAAGGAAACATTCGTTTTTTCTTTTTTTTTTTAATGAGTTAGGGAGCAAATGGTTTGATTGCACTTGTCTAGCTGGAAAAGTCAGCACTATTTTAAGTTTTAATGAAAATTAGGAGCATTGAAGAGTCGTTGTTCTAACTCTGATTACAGTGGAAATAACGCATGTGTATTTTTTGCATTTTTTTACTGTGTTTTCATATGCAAATAAGTTCAACCCAAGAATCTGGAAATTGTCTAGCTAAATCCTGTTTCCTCTCACAGTGAGATATCTAGTCAGGAATACTGCCACATTAAAAAAAACCAAACTAAAACAACAACAAAACAAAACCCACATAGTTTTGCAAAAGTGGGATTCATTTAGATAAATGGTTAAATAAATAAATGGCAGCATTGTAGAGCAGATTAACACTGAACGGAAAACTTCCCAACTTGAGGAGCAGTGATGGTGCAAGTAGCCTCTGATGTCTGGGAATGTGGTCTCCCTTCAGATGGACCATCCTGTAGTGACAGAGAGAAGGTAGTTCACCCCTCTCTGAAAGGCTGCAAACTGCTTTAGTGACTTTCCTGGTATTACCTGATAATTAGAATGGATTTGAGAACCAGAGCTTTTTTCCCCGTGTTCTTCGACAGGTTATGGAGAAACAAGCAGTCGTGTGACTACTTATCTCAGAGGTATTTAATTTGGTACACTACAAGAAAAGCTTTACGTTGTAGTATTTATCACTTGAGCTTTTATACTTTACTTCCCTTCAGATATGGCACACTAGAAATGCCACTTTGCTTGGTTTTATCATAGTCTTGTTTTTCTTATTTGCAAGTACGTACCCACTCATTCCTAAAGGATTATACTTTACTAATTCTACCATTCAAAATGTTGTCTTAAATGTTTATTTCTTCTGATTTATTTGTGAATTGTTTATTTTTATTTTTTTTTAACTGACTGAAAAAGTTTACCTGTAGTGATAATAGGTGGCTGAACTTTCATACTGCATCTGTAGAGCCTGCTTTGGAGCTTTCTTCATGTTTGAAAGGTGGACTTTAAAAAAAAAAAAAAAAGATACTTTTCTGACTAATAATGTTGCCCATGAGCTCTCCTCCATTCTGTAGAATGGGTATGGAACAAAACGGCATAAAGAGGATGGTTCTGATGAAGTAACACTGGAATTAAGTAAATTGAGATATAACTACCTGCTACTGCTGTGCAACTTTTTAATTTTCACCAGTGATGACTTTAATATTTTAAAGTAAAAAGAGAAAGAAGTTATCTTGTTAAAGATTACAGCAAAGTAAAGACTTTATGTCTGTTTGAAGGGAAAAGGGGGCTTAACTCCTTATAGTTAGCTAAGCAGTTAATTTTTTTAACAGGAAATCTAAATTTAATAGAAGACCCCAGGGAAATTCAAGGGTGTGAACAATAAGCATAATATTTTATGAAAATGACCCCCATATTTAAAATCTGGCATTATATGTTATGCATTGTAGCACCAAGTCCACATCTACCTTTTAGAAAATTAAAACACATAAATTCTGTTTAGTGTTTGATATGCGCTGCACTAGCTGAAAGCCATAATGCCCCTAAAACCTTGGGTTGCTTTTCACCTTTCATAAATTCCTGGGTAGATTCTATACAAAAAATAATTTTCAGCTCCGTGGCTCATTGTTATTCAAACTTGATTGATCGTCGTCATTTACTCAGTGAGGAAGTTAAGTGCTCCTGTCATTTCCGAAGAGTATAATTGGGACGTTTCACAGGTCAGCGGTAGTGACAGGTTTCCCTTTTGATTAGTGTTAGACTGATAACAAAAATTACAGTTTCCTATGATTAATGTTTTCTATGGTACTTGAATGCACAGTTCGCGGATTGTACCTAAACAAAGTGAATTTGCATCTGATTATGCCTTTTTTCCATCAGGCTGTTCACGTGCTTTAAAGTTTTAGACCATGCAGGTGATACAGCAAAGTTGCTTCTACTGCAGTTTTCAAGTAGAGCATTAGTGAAGCTCGCTGAATTTCGGTATATTAATGAACAGAGAGCTACGTACCTCTAACAGCATGTGAATAAATTAGGAGAAATTACAATTAAAGATAGTACTCTTCTGAATTCTTTCTAGTCCTCTTACGTGCCATGCACGTTGAGTACTTGTACCCACTGGTATTTTAGGTATAATCTGGCGATTTAAATCAAATGATCAGTCTGAACTGAGTTTTCTTTCTCTTACTAGTTTGACCTTATTTCTCAATTCCTTAAACCTGTTGCTGTTTATTTCTTTACAGGCTACCTCTGAGTAAAAACTATGGAAATACACTGAATTTACTTTCCCTGTTTTATAAGGTGAAAGTTAGTCAGCTTTTACATTGTGGCACAAAGTTGTAGACTAAGATCATCCATGGCAAGTTTTAGCGTGGTAATATACTTTTGAGAAATGGAAACTGAGTATGGAAAGCACAAATTGCCCTGCTTCAAGCTAGAGAACTAAGAGTGGATGTTATTTCCAGGCTTAATTAAATTGCCCTGACAGATAAAAAAGGGATGATGACAACATCAGCAGAATTTTGAAACCAAAATACAAACAAACTAACTTCACTTCAATCTCCTCACCCCTCTCCAGTTATGCAGAGTATAAAACCTGATGCTGTTTTTCTTTCTAAAGGCCATCGGGAAGGTCTTTTAGAAGTTGCAGCTTCACACAGATGTTCTTCTTTCATGTCTAGTGCCCTTGCGAGTTTGTGATTAGTGGTAGAATATTTAACCCTTTCTTTGCGTTAGAACTCCGTTTTGGTTTCTGCTGCAGAGGTCAGGTTCAACGTGCATCTGTCTTGGCTGTGCCAGGCAGGGCCTGAATTGCTTCTTTCTTTTAGATGAGGAAAACGATTGCAGTGGGAAACAAAAAGTGAGCTAGAGTGGAGGATGCTCCAGTGTAGCCTGAAGGTTGGCAGCTCTCGAGGTGGCAATCAGTGGTCTGAATAGACTACCTTGTGCTTGTTACCTGTCTTTGGCAGCAGGATACTTTCAAACATGATTATGCTAAAAATTTGTTTTAAAATTAAGACTAGTTAGATGTCCTCTGGTAAGAATGCAGTAGTAAATCTACTCTATTCTTCAGGACAGTAAATCTTTTTTCTATTTTTTTTTTTTTTTTAACTGGAACTGCAGGTTCCTTAAATCAAAGTAATTTTTTAAACAAAAGGAAGAGTGTACTTCTGACTTGCTCCATCCATTCATTATATGTTAAAGTGTATCAATGTGTATTAATATCAATTAATGTTATTTATTAGAAATTAGTTCAGTCCAGCCTACAAGCGACACTGACCGAAAGAAATGCTGATTTTTTTTTTTAATTATTTATTTTTAATTTTGAACTACATTTAATAAACCAAGATTGGTTTCAAGGTTTTTTAGGTTTGGAGTATATGTATGATTTAAAGGAACTCAGCTGTGCAGCTGTGACACACGATTAGGGTAGTGAATTAAATTGGGAAAAATTCTGCTGCAGGCAAAACCTGCAGTATCATCTGCTGCTTGTAGCAACGAGTAGTTGATATGAATATCGACGTAAGTCAGGTGCAGTAGGAAAAGTAAAGAACATAGCTGAAAATAGTAAAAATTATACCCTTCCTTATCTGTTGCTTTGGCTTGCTGCAGTGAAGTTGAAAAAAGCGATAGCTTGTGGTAAGGTTGGTTTTAGTGGATACCCTTATAATTTCCTAGACTTGTACAACTGCATGGCAAACATACCATAATGTGCTAATTGTGTTGTTTTTAAGAATTGCTTGACTCCCAAGGCAGACAAAGCATAAAACCTCCATCATTGCTACCTTTTCAGGGTACTTGGCATGGAACAAGCTTAGAAAAAAAACGTAGAGACTTGCTGGCACATAGAGAGTAGCAGCTAGCTGAAAGGATTCATAGGAGGCCACTTACGTGAATGAATTACTCTGGTTAGTTGGTAGGAACTCCATTTTTATTTTTCAACTAGCCATTCAATTTCAGACTGCAATATAGCCCAAGGGCACATTTTAAAAATCCTGATTGTTGGTCTTGACCATAGTAATGTGGTGTGGTCTAACAGTGGGAATGGTTAGGGTGTACCGAATTAGTTAAGAATATATCCAGTTATTTATAGTGAAGAAACACTGTAGTATACAGATCTGAATATTCTTGTTTTGGTCAGTATTAGCTTGCCAGTTCATCAGCTTTCCCTCCAGTTTGCCTGCTCTGGTTTTGAGCTCTTAAACAATTTGTGATACTATTTAACATGCCACAGGCTATTTAGGTGCAGCTAAACGAGTAAAATCAACCAAAGGAGAACAGATAAGGCTATAGTTTGCTCATTAAGTCAGAATCTTGATGTTATTTTAAGATTTTTTTTGTCTTATTTTATAGCTTCGCACTTTCTCAGACTTCACCAACTGCAAGTGTTCTAATGGATAAAAGGGGCTTTAAAAAAGCCCTTAGGATAGAGCATGGCTTTAGAGATAAAATGTTAAGCAAAGGCCTAATCTTCTATAAAGATTAAATACATAATTAGGGAAATACTTTTGACATAGAGCAGTCTCAACAGGGCTATCAAGATGTCTGCGAAGTATTTTGAATGTGAAGGGAAATGAAAAGCAGTCTTCACATTTGAAAAAAAAAAAAGCCAACAAAAATATCTCTGTAGATGAAAGCCTCGGATGATGATGACGATGATGAGGATGAAGATGAATTTGTGGAGGTCCCCGAGAAGGAAGGTTATGAGCCCTACATTCCAGACCACCTGCGTAAGGAATACGGTGAGTTTGCCCAGCTGTGACAAGCTTTATCCCTGCGTGTTACTACTGCACTAAAGTAAATAAACAGCCATTCTGAAGTAATAAAGTGATCAGCGGTGTGGGTAATCTCTGGCTGCTAGGAGGAAGTCATTACACAGATACGGGAGCAGCGATTGGCTCTAGATAAACAAATACTTTCCAGGAGCAAGAGCAACTGAGACAAGAAGCTTATTTCATTCCATCATGTCGCACTGTAGTTTGGAGCCAGAAGCAGCACCGTGTATGCTTGTAAGTGTGCTAACCACATACTTACTGGGAGCGAAGGATTGCAAAGTGAAGCTGTAAATGAGCCTGAATATTAGAAATACTGGTAACAGTCTGGCGAGATGGGATAAGGTTTTGTACTATCGCCTGCGATAACAGGAGTTGGAGATGTGCAGCCACTGCCTCACGTAGGGTGGCCAGCTTACAGCTCAGAAAGAAGGCTTTTTGTTTTGTTTCTTTTCGTTGGGTGTTGCTATCACAAAACATTAAACAGAGCTCAGCATTCAAATTCAGAATTATAGCCACTGAGCACATACCAGATGATAAAATACAGTCTTGGCCTTGCCTTCTTTTAATGCATTCTAAAGATTTTTTTAAAAAATAAACGTATACTTGTAATGTGGGGTTTTTTTTTGTGAAATTGGGAGGGGAGTTACTAAGGAAGGTTCATCTCAAATAATTAAATTTCGGTGCATTAGTCCTTGTCCATTGTACCTCTAGCTTATTCAGTGTCTGCAGCTTTGCCTCTGTGTAGCATTGTGTATTTTAAGATTCAGAAGATCTCAGTACCTTGTAGAGAAGGAGAGAGTAGCTGCCATCACAGAGAAGTTAAAAACCTTGGACACTGTAAGAAGTTTCTTATTCCTACACTTCTCCATAAGTATTTGTGTAAGACTGGTGCTGTGTTGTGCCTTTTTTGATCCTGCTCATGCTTATTTTTAACTTTTCCTGCGGTTTGCATCTTAAGTCAGGCTGCAGCAACTACCTGTATAAGCAGAACATTTCTTTTTGCTGAAACAAGGGGATGAACCTGTGTAAACCCAAGGTGATGTAGCTCAGGTGACCTTTTTACTGTCTTCTGCCATCAAATTTGGCTCCAGATAGTCTGAGGGACTTTGTCTAAGAGTTGGGGAAGATGAAGTGGAACTGGGATTATTGAGGTGGTGGTATGGGAACTGGATGTGTGTGTTGGATGAGAACACAGAACAGTGGTGAAGGGCTGTAGGACACAAACTCAGGAACTGGGCAGCTTTTTATTTTTTTTGTTTATGGAAAAAAATGTTTTGATAAAATTATACTAGTATATGCCCAACTATCTCAGTCTTGCAATAAGCACTGAGTAAGTTCTAATTATTGCTAATGATGGGACTTTCAACAAAGGAATATAATGAAAGAGAGGGTAGCAGCCTTCCAAACAGTTGTGAAAAGCCTCTTATGTATACGTGGCTAAGGAAAGAGTCCGAAAACATTGGTAGTGATAGTAAATGGATGAGCAGATTAGGTTAGTTATTAACATAGAAGTGGTAGCTCTTTGTTTTTTTCATTCCTTTGGCGGTATTTCTTGTGCCAAAACAGGTATTTTCTTAATAATTTCCAGCAATGGAACTTGTGTTTCATATCTTTAACAGCAGCCTGATGAATCCTAATTTAAGAAAGTTCTGTTCATACTTGTCAGCTTCCACTGGAAGTGAAATGTTCTCATCTCTTCCCTCTCCCCCTTTCCTCCCCTGTCTTCCTTATGGACACACATTTTTAAAAAATAAAGCGTCTTACCACCCTTTGTATCACACTAACATGATACTTTGCTGCAATTTCAATTCCTCCTCATGGAAAAGGATAAAAGAACAAGAATGTCTACTTAAGGATATTTTTAAAATCTATATCAAATGGAATAAGAAATTGCCAATTTGTATTTAAACTATTGCTGATAGGAAAATATATTATAGTGAAGAACCCGATCAATGAGAAAACAAAACCTCTTTCTCATTTTGTATACATGTATTTATGTAGGAGCTAATGGTCACACTTGGGTGTTCTTTATCTGATGTTTTTGTTAAAAATAGCATTTTAAAAGAAATGAACCCTTCTTGAGGTTCCTGAAGGCATTCAGCTTTTCCTGCTGCCCTTTAAAGTTATTATGGAAACTCCCAGTTCAGGAAAGAGTCTGAAAAGAATTCAGGCAGTCTTTTAAGCATGTGCTTTCTTCTTTCTTTGTGTACTTAAGTGCTTTCTTGGACTAACTGATCAGTTGCTAGGTCAAAATCTTTTTCAGATGCCGATGGTAACTATCGCGTAAGTCAGCTGACTTCTGTGTAGTTACTTCAGGTCTGCATGAGGAAAACAAACTATATTTGCTCCTCTGGATGCTGTACTGTATATTTTAATGAGCAAAGCCAAAGTAAGCATCCTTTTGACACATTTTTATATGAAAATTCACTTTTCTAAACAAAATACACAAGAATACGTTGATTTCATAGTAGCATGTTATCATCAAGAGCTGGCTGTGTTAGGCAGCCGCCTCTCTAATTAAAAGTGGTTCTTTGTTGCATGTGCAGTTATCGTAGCAGTGACTTTAGCTTTATTTTAATATAACTCAGGTGAGTTTAGCTGCATTTCTTTAGTTCATGTTTAGTTCATGAGGACTCCAAGCTAAGAAAATGAAAATCTATGCAGGTGGAATGGTCTAACTGGAATATTAAACTTTCCATGTACAAGAAAATTTCAGTTTTATGTAGAAGGAAGGTGTGAACAATTTAAAGCTTTTTTCCTTTTTCCTTGTGTTGTTCCTGAACAAACCAGAAAAAGCGAACAACTCCTCAGATTAACTTCCTATACTACACAGGAAAACAAGCTTGTAAAACATGACTGTGGAAATAGGTTGAAACGTGATGTTTAAATTACTAGTGTAAAAGTCACTTTAATCCCTTCACTTCTCTTAGGAAAATGGAAGTATCCTATCAACAGGTAAATTTCAAGCTGAGATGCTATTTCTGGTTATGCTTATGTGTGTTTGTGGCTCTCCTGAGATCGGAAAAGTTTGTGAAAAATGAAAAGCTATTTAGAGGTGGGAAGTTTTGTATGCACAAATAGATAGATGTGGAGTTTTATTATCAGTGTGTATATGTAGTTGATGATCATCTCAAAATGGATGGTAATGTTTAATATATAAGATGAACCGAGCATGCGTACAGCTTGGGTGGAGGGAGAATTAAACAAGTTAATTTGAATCTCCATGTATAAGATGAAATGTAAATTTGTTAAAAGAATTTAGGTGATTAGATAACTGAAGTGTGAAGATATAACCCATTAGGGGTGTCATGCCAAATTAGCATTACCAGACTTTTAATGACCTCCCATTTGTATAATCCTTATTTACACTTGCACCTGATGTCTGCAGCAGACAAGAGACCAGTCGTTCTGTGGTACCACAGAGCCGTTTAAAATACATTGTGTTGCTGAAGAGGAATCTGGGGATGAAAAAGAAACAGCCTTTGTGAAAGTAATTTTCGTGCTGTTACTCTGGTTCTCAGCACTCTGCACCAATGTTACTTATATCTATTGAAGAGTAACTTGCCTTTATATGGCTGGTAAAAATTAAAAATTGAGGCATTATTCATTTAAAAGAAAGCCTTAAAGAGAGATGAAATCTTGTTACCACTTGAGTTTTCCCACATTCCAGCCTCTACTGGTCAGCTGGCAGTTGCACTGGCTTAAAGCCTTAAGGTGGGTAAGGTAAGGGATGGAACTGTGCAGCTTCTGACGTTGTTCTTGTGCCATAAACAGAATTTGGTGCTGATGCCAGGGTAAGAGATTCCTTCCTACCCATGGTGGTCTTGGCATAGCTTGCAGCTGAGCTCTGAACCGCGTGGGGAACAACCTGTTTAGAGAGATGTGCTTTTCCATGTAAAAATGGAACCATTCTCGGATCTAGTTCAAAGCACTCGCCTCCAACAACTGTTATCTACTAATGGATTTTCTCGATTTATGATTCTTGGCTATGTCTCAGTGCATGTATTTGTGAACTTACTTATGCAATACTACTTTGAGGTACAGGGAGGTGCTGTTGCCATTCTACAAGTGGTGACATGAGGAAGCCATCTGACTTGGGACTGTTAGCATGGAAGCAGTCTGCTGGTTATCAAGTTTCATCCTTATCCAAAATTATAAGAGAAATAACTGTACAGTAAAGAACACAAACCATTATTTCAAATCTGGTTTGTCAGATTAGTTCTCTTGTATTTAAGCCTTAAACCAAAATGGGTTTTGGTCCCTGATAGCTGCTTCAGTGGTTCACATTGGATCTTAAAGCTTGCTTGGGATTTCTTTCATATTGGGATCAAAGCTGCGGTTCTGAAATCCCAAGGGTTAGTTCTATCTATTTCAGAAATTTTTCCCTCTTCCCATCACAGAGCGATGTGCTTTTGTGGATTAGACATCCCCACACTGCCTTTCCTAATCGTAAGGTGTCTGGGTCATGTTTTTTCTGTGGTTTTTGGGGTTTTTTTTGGTATGAGATGGCATAGCAACATAGGTAAGAAGGCTTATACCCCTGTTGAAAAAATAAAGGGTAAAAAAAACGGCTATTTCCTTGATAGACAAGTTGCTACTTGTTTTTTACATAGAATTAGGAGTGCTTCAGACTACATGAGCTATTCTAGTGCAGCTCTCTCTGAGCATTTTAGAAACATGAATAAACTTGCTATTGTGATTGTTTGTTAAAGTGATGGGGGTTTTATAGCTTTTGCGTTTTCTTTGAACATTAAAAAGCCTGTATTAGAAGTAACAATAAAATACTGCATAGACTAATGCATGATTGAATTTTCAGATTTGAAGCAGTAAAATTCGTGTATTTCAGGGCATTTATTCAGAAAATTTTACTTGTTTGTATTGACTAAGTATACTTAATCTGTACCAAAGCAGCAGACTTCCATGCATATTGTTTTTAAAAGTTTTATTCTCTTGACAGGCATCCATCA